ATAATATATTATATATATATATATATATATAATTGTTTATTTTGCGTGCAGTTGGATTCTCGTTTTTTGCTGCCTCGCGAAGTTGGCAATGCCAGCGGGGAAATCGAAGTAGCAGAGCGACGCATTCGTTTGATTCAGAGAGGTTCTGCTGCTGCTGCTGCTGCTGCTGCTGCTCCTGCTGCTTCTGCTGCTGCTGCTGCTGCAGCAGAGGAAGAGGGAGAGGAAGAGACAGCAGCAGCAGCTCCTTTGCCTGTGTTTGGAGGCATGCTAAGGCGGCTTGGAGACACAGATGATGAAGATGAAGAAGAACAAGAAAGCGATAATGAAAGAGATTTAATACATTCAAATGACGTTAGCTTCATGGTGGCACAGACAGAAACAGAAACTGAGAAACGCCTAGAAGCACTCAACATCAAGGAAAGTCATCAACACAGCAGCAGCAGCAGCAGCAGCAGCAGCAGCAGCAGCAGCAGCAGTTGCTTCTGCTGCAGCAGTAGTAACAAGAACGCAGATGCAGCAGCAGCAGCAACAACAGCAACACCCAGGCAGCTGTAATACAGATGCAGCGAATGATGCAACAACACAGATGCAGCATTTCCACAACAGCAGCAGCAACAGCAGCAACAGCAGCAGCAGCAGCAGCAGCAGCAGGTTTGTGGTGGCGCATGGGTTGAATGCTGCGATGTTGTTTATATGTTGTTTATATGCAGAGAAGAGGCGCCGACTGCGGCTTCGAGAGCAGCGAAACATTATATCAAATATACTTGAGGGAAGCAAATCTATTAGGAGAGAATGCTGGGGGTTTGCAGCTGCAGCAGCTGCAGCAGCTGCAGCAGCTGCAGTTTATATATCCCTCTGGCTTCGATAACTCAGGAAGGCCTATCATAGTTTTTCTTGCTGCTGTCTTTCCAGCAGCTAACTACGACTCTCTTCTTTTACTTCTTTATATTATTAAAACTATGGATCCCTTCATTCGAGATAAATATACTCTTTTATACGTCAACTCAGGTAGATAAAAACAGCAGCACTTCAACTCCTTTGCTTATTTATCTAGCATGCATGCACCTCAATTCTACTGCTGAAAGAAAATGTTAAATATAATTTTTGTTTTTTTGTTTGTTTAGTCGTATGCATGTATGTATGCATGCATGTATGTATGTATGTATGGATGCATGCTTCATTGTTTATGTGCTCTGTTTATTTGCATGCATGCATGCATGTTTATTTGTTTATTGAATGGACATGCATGCTTGCATGCATGAATGTTTGTTTATTTGTTTAATTGCATGCATGCATGCATGCATGCATATAAGGATGTTCCTTTATTTATATAATTGCATGCATGCATGCATGCATGTAATTAAATTAATTAACTAATTAATTAACTAATTAATTAATTTAATTAATCAATTAATTAAACTAAATCAATTAATTAATTAATTAAACAAATTAATTAATCAATTCATTAGACTAATTAACTAATTAATTAATATATTTATAATATTTATTTATTTATTTATTTATTTATTTATTTATTTGTTTGTTTGTTTGCAGCTGTTCATCACTCTAATTTACCGAGCATGAGTCTGTGGAGTGAATTTTTTTCTTTGATAGAAAAATTTGAAGATAATTTGGCGCAAATGTTTGTGCTGCATGCGGGTTTATTATTTAAAGCTGCATTTGCCTGTTGTTCTTCTTATCTTTCTCCTCATGTTTGGAGCGGCACTATCTATTTAAAGAGTATTAAGGTAATTATTATTATTACTATTATTATTATTAAATAATATAACTCTATTAGTTAATTAATCTTTGCTAATTATTTTTATATTTGTTTTTATGTTTATTTCTATATATTAATAAATCAGTTTGGCTCTGTAAACTTATGCTATGTTTATAAATAATTTTAGGTTTAACTTTATATTTATTCCTGTAATATATAAATAAATAATTATTGCTTCATTTTAATATTTGTTTTATACTAATTTTTTACTTAATTTTTTATTTTTTTATTTTTATTTGCGGTTATAGGGCAGTGCAGTAAAACTCCTTCTTATTATTCTGCTTCACCAAAATATTATTTTTGTTTTATTTTATTTTATTTTATTTCTTTTTATTACTTGAGGACTTCGAGTTGCATGCAAGTAGGAAATATATATATTGTATATATATATATATTTATACATATTTATACACGTGTCTATTTATGTCATATATTAAACTAAGTATATTATACTAAATATATCATATGAAATATATTTTATTTCTATTTATTACTTCAGGGCCTAGAGCTGCATGCAAGTAGAATATATATATATATATATATATATATAATATATATGTATAAATTTACACGGGTTTCAATTTATGTCATATATAAA